AAGGATCAGAGACCAAGTCTTTAACACATAATCCTTTGAGGGACATTTCAGAAACTCAAACTATAGCAGAAATATTTCAATTCAAAAACTAGGCATCTATTTCAGTTAATACTCAAAATAACTTATAAGAAGTATTACGTAGATACTTAAAGTATCTAAAATTTCCCAATATTTATACTCTATATGTGTCTGAAACATTTATTTGATGAGTGTTATAATAGCATTTCTATTATAATTAGTCTGAAAGTTAAAGAAATGGTGTATAGTCTGCTTAAGGCCGATACTATTTGCATCTTAAAAACTTATCACAGTGCTTTGAATAAAATCATTGCTTTAAAAATATATATCAAATGAATGGCTGAAATTCAAGAAAAATAAATATTCCCAAACCATCACTGAATTTCTTAACTCTGAACCTGCATTCACAAATGAAGTTCTGGTAAACCAAGAACAAAACAAAATAAAACCAAAATACACTTCAAGTGATCACTTATAGGCTTACAGTCCAAATCATAGGGTTAAAGAGCAGAGTCACAAACAAATGAACCTGGATGTAATGATCTCATCCAGATTATTTCTTAGGAAAAAAAATTATGATAAGTGATAATTCAAGATTCCAATCATCAAACTCCCAGAAAAATTAAGTAGCATGAACTTGTATAGTGTAGCAAAATAACACACTACTTCCTGGCAGATGGAAAGCGAAGGAACAGTTTCCTCATTGGAAAACAGAATGGCAATCAGTTTTATCTTTAGGCAAAGAAGTAAACCAACCACACCAGAAAGCTCAGCTTACTGAGATGCGTGGAGAGAGTATTTTGCATGAAACTCTCTTGTAATCTACAAGGTATAAAGTTAATGCAAACAATGACTAAACCTTCAAGGACATTCTGGACATATGGATAGTTACACAAGGATTAAAAGCTAAGTATCTAAATTTATGGTCACATTTTATAAAGCATCTTGATTTGCATCACATGCCAAAATATGAGAAACAAACTTATTTTGTAAATTTGCAAAGTAAATTTATTTGGGGTTTAGTAGAAAAGAACTCTACAGAAGTGTTTTTTATTTGGTCAGATATTCATAAATTTTGTGGACTTTTGTACCCTTGAAATGCTCGCAAGTATCATAAAATTTTAGAAAGTCAAGTTAGTTAATAAGGTCTCATAGAAAAGTCCTACAACTCAGAGATGTTAAGGGCCCTTTCTACACCACAAATACATTACAAGGCACTAAAACATAAGTTCCGTGGTAACGTATTCAGTTATCATAGACTCATTTAATAAACCTCATTAAATATTAAGTACCATAAGCCACTGTTTACAAGATTTCTGTCTGGAAAATTATAATACAGTCTATTATGAGAAGCTTTTATCCAAGTATCTAACCTTACACATTTTCAGAATAAACACGATATTCAGAGGAAAGCATCTACGAGACATTCAGAATTAAGCTTAGTTTATGAATAACAATAAATAAAATATAAAATTAGAAAAATACCAATAGATAAGAATTTTAATGTATAAACCAAAGAGAGATTTTTGGAGCCCCAAATTAATTTCTTTTGGCAAAAGATCCCTTTATGTTATTTTATGGTTGGTGAAAGGCATAACATACAGTGATGTTCATGGCAATTCTTTTTTTTTTTTCCATGCTTTGCAAAAAATTTGACTACGTTTGCATTCCCCCAAACTATGGATGGCTTCCACAGTAGACATTTCCGAAGTAACCTATGCAGATGTACTCAAAATACAAAACTGGAAGCTTTGGAAAGATGCCTTTCATAATTTGTACATTCTATGAAACCGGGTCATGGCAATCATATTCACAGCTTCTCGTCAACTGCAATCTGAGTCACAGTACGCTGTCACTGGATCGCAGGTGCACATTTATTTTTCCCTCCAGTTTAGGGAATATTGGGATATGTGCTCTTTTGTCCTTAGTTAAAACCAATCTATTGTGTGTAGTTTACACACACAAAAAAGCCCACTCTGGACTCATAGACTATTCCTATGAAAAAGGCTATTAAATAAATTTGGGGGTCATGAGAATATATTTTCAGCTTTAAGAGAACATTGGAGCATTGTCATAAGTTCAAGGTTTCATTGGGCTTTTAGGCCACTCTGATATAAAGTCTTATTAAATAAAAACTTGTATTGGTAGAATAGGATAGGATATATTCTCATGACAAAGCAAGCCTTGAGTCCTGCAAGTCTATTTGCTCTTTTTTTATCTTTTAGTCACTTCATTTGTAGTTGTCCCATGAAAAACATGGCCCTGTGTTAGGGAGAGGAAGGGATAAAGAAGGCACACTGGGTCTTGAATCTCAGGCTACTTCAGTTTGATATAACTGTAAAGGAAGCCAGGAAATGCACAGTCATGTGGATTGTGGTTACAATGAGAACCACAAGCTTCTACCATCTATCTGTGTTTAAGGTCATACTATCATCTCTTTCTTCCGTTTGTCAAACATCACAGGGTAACTTTCTGTCTTTCAGAATTTGTGCTGATTTAGATTCCAGAGATGAAAAAATATTTGTCTTTACTCTTATACAGCCTAATACATGGAGACATGAATAATATATATATAGAGAGATAGATAGATAGATAGATAGATATAGATATATATAGTCTACATATGTATTTAATGCCTGTGAGGTAGAAAAAAATGCCCCCAAATAGAGGCATAAACCATTATTAAATTGTTTATGGGAACCAGCATAGAGGAAAATGGAATCAATCCCTATAGATTAATAGGGAAGTTTTGAAATATTATAGAGTTGATGGCTTATTTGCTGGACCTTAAAGGAAAAAATAATTGGCTTAGACAATTTTGACATGGACAAAAGTGCAGAAAATGAGAAAAGACAGAAAAATGTGAGAAGATAAGACACAAAAAAGAAAAGGCAAAGAACCTGGAATATAAGGGTGTAGGTCCATAGATACATGGCTTTATTAATTTTTATATTATTGATGTGTTTAGTAGTTTGTTTATTTGTGGAATATGAGTTGCTAGAATATTAAGTTTATTGCTGTTCTTTGTTTTTCTCACTAGTTTTCCTTTTGAATAGAAACCAAGGGGGGAATTTTACCAGAGCATTCCAAATTCTGAAAATTACATTTTCACTAAATTTTTTTCCATTTCTATTTCTGTACAATATTAAACCACAAGTCATAGGATTAATTGGTAATTAATAGGTAATACTCCTTTCAGATTCTTTTCTAATCCAACCAAATTTACATAACATACCTAGCTATAGCAAAATGCAATTTAGAAATGAGTCCCAAAATGCCAACTCTAGGGCAGTAGGTAAATTAGATCCAGAGTTTTAATTATTGGGAAAACAACACTTAAAATGAAAACTTCCTAAGGTTATAATAAAATGTTATGAGAAGTGATGTTTGGGAGTTGGCAATAGTTAAGTAGGCCCCAAACAGGGACTGTTCAGAACAGGACATAAAAGAAAAAACAGAAAAGGAAAAGGGAGAACAGGGTGAAATTCAGGAAGTATATGTTTTTTCTTCTTCTTCCTCCTCCTTGAAAAGAAAGAAAAGTAAGGAATGAGTAGGAAAATGTCAACAGCAAACACTCAAGTACATGACTTGGAAATTGCCTTTATGTTTTCTTTTCAACGATTATCATTCTTTTTTATTTTGCAACTGTAATGAAGGGTTTATAATCACTGTTAGACATTATATCATAGACCTAACCTGCTTATATCAAAATATCTAAAAAATATTTTTAGTCTAAAAAATTTAAGTCCATTCTAGAAATTTCAGCCTTTGCTTTTTAGTTTTAAAGCTATCACTTACTCCCAAACATTTTGAACTTATTAATAGCTACCATTTACTCCCTTCACATTATGTTCTAGCCACTCACATATCATCTTAAATCTTATAGAAACAATGACAAGTTGATATTATTTCTATTTTGAAATTGTAGAAAATAGAATTCAAGTTTTGTTCATGCCCACAGACTCACTGTGGCAAAGTAAGACAGTGTAAATTTACTCAAGTAATTTCACCTGTGGTTTCCAAATGTCTAAAATGTGAACAATCATAGAATAGATCTAATAAGATTATTGTGGAATCAGGGTGGGGAAAGCGAGTTAAATTGGCAGAAAATTGCAACACAAGTTTTTAAATCCAAGTATATGTTTATTATTCTGGGCATTTTATTTTACTCTAGGTAGCAATTCAACTTCAAAGTATCAAAGGAACCCAGTCTCTGGAGTAGCCTAAATGTTGATTTCCAGTCCTTCCTCTTTACAACTTCTCTGAGAAGTGTATTTTGGACAGAGGAAGGAACTAAACTAAGGACTGTAGAATTACCACCATCACTAATGTTATTCATTGTTAAATAACTAATTCCTCTTTCGAAGCATTAAATCATTTAATAAATTAAATCGAAAAGCAATCATTTACAAATGAATCCTTTTTTTTGTTTCGTATCTTCCTATTTTCAATATTACTGTTTTCTGTACTCCTCCAATAGTATAAACTTTATTTTCCCCTTGGAGGGGATTGGTTGGTCAACTTTATTGCCCAAACTGACACCCCCACACCTGTCACCTGCTTCCCTCCCCCCCAAAATCCTTAACTAAATAACCGCTCAACCCTTTCCCTCTGAGTTCACAATGAGGATCTTCTAATTTCTCTCATTCTTCATGTTTCCTTTGCTCTCCAATAGGTTGCACACTTCCCTGGGGTATCTAAACAGACCTACTACACCTGTCTCTTGGGTTAAGCGCAAAAGTACTTTGCCTAAAGCACTAGAGGGCTGATCAGGAACAAAAGATCTCACTTGGTCACAACTAAAATCCGAAGTGGAGTTACTCAAGCCATAGAGAAAGGGTCTGCAGCGTTGACAGCGGCTTGGAGCATGCTCAGTCCCGTCACCGGGCGGTGCCCCCACCCCCCACGCCCCAGCTGCACCCCACCCTGCTCCCGGCGGTCCTCTGACACAACCTCCCCCGGACCCCACCCCCCCATCCCCAGCCCCGGCGCGCGCTCCTCGGCACCCACAAGGGCGTTCAGCAGCGCGCCTCCCCTGCCCGCTGCCCCCCTCCTCCTCCGGCTGCTGCAGGCGAGGACACGTCAGGGGACATAAATAAATAAATAATTCCATTCACCGGGTGACAGCGAGGCGAACCGGCTGCGACTGGGCGGGGGAGGACCCAGAGCTGCAGCGCCCACCCTGTGCCAGAGATCAGATAAAGTAAGTACACTCCGGGAAGAAGGGAGGAGGAGGAGGAGGAAGAAAAGGAGGAGGCGCTGGTGGAGAGGAAGGCAGCGTGCGTCTGTCTGCAACCGGAGCTGCCCAGGGAGCCGCTGCACGCGTGTGTACAAATAATGACCAGCTTGTGACAAACGCGCCAACGCACAGTTTGCCAGTGAGCCCTTATATAGGCAAAACCCCCTGAAGCTGCCGCAGCAGAAGAACTCTGGTCCGCCGGGCGCGCGGAGCGCAGAGCGGGAGCGGCAGGGGGCGAGCACGTCGGGGTGGTGGGCCTGCGGGGTCCCGGGAGGGATAACCCTGGGTGGTTTGGGCCAGGAGCAGCCCGCGCTCTCTGTTTTCGGACAGACTTGACCCGCAAGGGACTGCCCAGTCTCCTTGGCCCACGGGACTCTGGGATCTGGTTCCTGTCAGGCGTGTCCCTTGTGCGCGCCTCCCCAGCATCTCGCCCCTGGGCCCCTGAGCACCTTGGGGTGGTGTCGTAGCTGCAGTAGGTGGAGACAGGTAGTGAGAATGCGTGCAGGGAGCGGCTGGCTACTCTTTTAGCAGACGATCTGGGCTTGGAGAGCTGGGAGGAAGGGACTAAATGGCAGGGGGCTTCAGTTGCGGTATGCTGAAAGCATGGCGGAGGTGGAGGCAGATGGAAAGGTGGATGCGGGGCGAGGCCTGTGGCTGAGCAGAAGGGCAGTACTGACTTGGCAGGGGCCAAGAAGGGCTTGCTTCTCTCCTGTGTATGCTTGGTTTCCTGGGCCGCTGCGCCACGCTTGGGGCGCCAGGCCCAACCAGGTTGCTTGTGAGGCTGGAAGCCCTGGAGCCTGCTCACGTGCTAACTGCCTCCTTCCTCAGCAGATGCTGCAGTGCAGCTGCCCTCTCCATCCTTTTTCTCTTCCACTTGCAAGCTCAGGTAGGATTGCTGGCTGCCTTGAGAAGGGCGGTTTTGCCCAAGGCCACTTTCTCTCTACAACCAGGGAAGGGAATTTTGTGGTTCCACCCCAGAGAAATTAAAACATAAACACAAATACACACAGGAGAGGAAACTAGGGACAGTGTTTCTAGAAGTGTTTCTTTAACTCCCATTCCTAGAGAAGTAGGACTGGGTTACATTAAGTGAGGCTGTTTAGAGGCAATAGGAAAACTAATACTTCATGTACTCCTCCTTTCTCTGGTTCCAAAAGAGACGAAGCAGATGAATAAAAATAGCAGGCAATGATAAACGCGTCGTGAAAAAAGACTGGGCAAGAGGAAGTCATGGGCACAAATGCCCTTTCTTGGCACTACAGGCTTTATGGTTAAACCCAGTCAGAGCTCGGAAGGTTGCAAACTTTCAGCACACAGTTTAGCTTGAATGTGCTGTGTCATTTGAACCACAGTACTAAATGCTCATTTGGTCTAGTGTGGCTGAAAAATCAGAATTGGGTGGGGGCTGCAGAGGGCAGGGCAGATGAGGGTTGAATAAGGTGACTCTTATTTAGTCCCGATGAAGCAATCCTAGCTCCACTTTCTGCTTCTGAACACATTACATTTAAATCAATCTAAGTGAGAGGGCAACTGAAAGATTTCAGTGAAAGTTAGATTATAACAGCAGTCAACTAAGTATATTGGGTAACAAATCATAAAGTCAGAAACTACTTTTTGCAAAAATTCACCATAACAGTGTCTAGTTACAGGCTTCTCTTTCCCCCAAGGACTTTTGATGATGGTTAAATGCTCTGAAATTTTAACATTAGTTTCCAATATCCAAATTCGTGAATCTTTCTGTAAATGCTTGGTTTATTTCTAGATATATACTTAGTCTTTTATGATATTTGGCTTACAGTTTTGACCTTGAGTCCTTCTAGAGGGAAGGAGCAGAGTGAACTAAAGAAATGTCTCTAGTCCAGTTATATTCCTGGATCATTTAGTTGAAATAAAAAAGAAATGTGTCTCCTGAATTTACTTTTAACTTTATATTCCTTTACCAAATGTTTTTGAGAAGTTCACAGGGGAGAAGGGAATTAATTGTAGAATCAGGCCCAGAATTTGAGTTGATTTCTGCACTTGTGAAAGAGTAATTTATTTAATAATCTGGGCTTTATTTTTTCCTTAGTCATAAAATTGGATTACTAGTATCTACCCTGAAATCCTCTTGTGTGGAATAAAGAAAGTGGAAATAGCTAAAATGTAGACCAGCTATTTTGAGCCTGTAAAATCATCATCAGCTCAAACATCCTAGTGGAATCACCAAGATGAATGAGATTGGAGTTCTACTCTTAAGAAATTCACATCTATTCATTCAGGTTGATCCTCCTATTCCATTTGTTTTTTAGTTTTTCATTTTTTTATTTTCTCAGTGAGGGAGGGATACATCCCAAATCACCTGAAAATAATTCAGTAGTTGTTTTAAGAAATGTTTGTATGGTCTGCCAAAATGAAAATTTGAGAAGGGTCCCTTGTCTTAGGAACCTGTGTATTCACCCCAAGCTTTTGTTCATTGAGAACGACCATGTACAAACAAGTAATTGAAGGTTTTCTCCCTGCTCCCAGGGGAGATTGCTCCTTCTTTGAAGATTATCTTGGCCACTAAATTGATTTCCACTTTTTGAGAGAGGAGATTAAGCTCTGAATTCTTTGACACTGTGAATAGACCCACTCATACCCATAAGCCCAAGAATATGGTAACTTAGAATCTCTAGAATGCTTGCCATATTCCAGACACTGTATTTCTGCTTTCTGGTAGCACACAAACCCCCTATAAGGTAGGTCTGTCCATATCCTTGTTTGCAGAAGAGGAATTTAGCCACTTGTGTCTGTGGAACAGCTCATGTCATAGTCCATTTTGTATTGTTATAATAGAAAACCTGATACTGGATGATATACAGGATAAAGAAAGATTAATTTGGTTCACAATATTGGAAAGTCCAAACAGTTTGGTACTCTTGTCTGGGGAGTGTTTCCTGCTGGTGTTACAGTATGGCAGAAATATGGAGTTGGAAGTTGGTGCATACAAAGGAGGCCAAGCACAGGCCTTGTAACAACCCACTATCACAGCAACTAATACAGTCCCCTCTGACCTAAGCCACTCTTTTGAGATAAGTATTAATCCCTTATGAAGGTGATGTCCCCATAACCCAAAATGCCTCTCAGAGGCCCTACTACATTTGAAGACCATTTTGTGGTGGGACCAAACCTCAACAAGAGTTTGCATAGGGACAAACCATATTTAAACCATAGCAGCTAGTAAGTGACTATCCTGGGAGATAGCAACCAGGCGGTCTGTCTGGCTTTAGCCACTACACAGTACAACTTCTGCCTTGTATAAAGCTAAACAAGGCCAGATTGTTGTGTTCTTCATCACTTAGTGCAGTGCCTAGCACACAGTAGCACCGGGATCTTATAATAGAAAGAATGAAGGAGTGAGGGAGGCAGAAATGCAGGAAAAGGGGAAGAGAAGGAAATAAAAAAGGAACAAACTGAGTCTCTTCTGCCTTCAACTCTGAATCTGACAGAAAATGCTACACAGACTTCCCTGAGGACAAGATAGTTGCCATTAAGGCCCATTTGTGTGAATTAGAAAAGTACTCTCTTTGGGCTGAAAAATTAGCAAAAGGTGTCTATATACATCAAATAGAAACCCAGTTAAAATGGCTGAGAAATAGAAAAAAAAACTACATTCAGAGGCTGTGAATTTAAGTATCACTTCATAAACTGGTTGACTTGGTCTTATTCAGCACGGAGATAGAGCTTGTAGTTGAATCCTGAACACCAAAGAAGAAAACACTGTCAAGTGTCATAGACTGTGCCTGACAAATAGAATGGCATGCAGCAATCACTAACTGCAGCCCTTTACTGTTTTGACCCCCTTTTCCCCAACCCATCTCAAGGAAGAAGCCCCCTCCTAGTTCCCACATCTGGATGTAATCTGTGTTCATCTGAACTGCCTTGTAACTTGATCTAGGATGCTCTTATTCTGATTTTACTTTCCACCATAATTCTTTGGGTAAGCATCCTATCTCTCTTCCTAGGCTTCATGGTCTTTGAGTGTAGACCATTCATCTGGGAAGCCAGATTACTGGACAGGGCAGAGGTAAAAGCAGGAGCTCAGAAGTCTGGCCCGTCTGGGTTCTGATCTCAGCTCTGCCACTTGAGCATTAAGGGTAAGTTGCTAAATGTCTTTAAATTTTGGTTTCTCATTTATAAAAAAAGAAAATAATAACCACTTTTACATATTGATCGTAAAGATTGAGATAGTGAAATAGTACTTGCCTAAAAATAACTCAATACATGGTTGCTGGTTTGGGCTATTAAATATTTGGCCTGAAAGCTTTTAGGGTGCTATAAGGATCACTGGCTTATTCTGACCAGATTTTCAGAAACTCTTTGAAATCTCAAGTCTCGAATTAGATGACATAATAGTGTGGGATTGCATAATAAACCACTAAATAACTTCCCCTGAGAGGTCAACCTGGTTTGTCACAGGCTTTCTTAAAACTGTTTGGATCAAAGGGATTAGGAAATGTGTTAGAAGACAACTGCTCACTAATTCTTAGTGAGTAATAGATTCTTTTCTTTTTAAACTTGCAGGAAAAAGCATTTTTTAATTGCTCTCTTGGATGGTGAACCTAGGAGCCTAATCTACCTACCTGGGATATTCAGCAGTTTATATCTCAGTATGAGAGAATAGCATAATATAGGCCATTGTTTAGAAGAATAAATCACATTTACCAAACATATTTGATAATTAGTAAATATGTAGGGTGATATGTGCATTTATATATGAAATAATTGAGAATACTGGAAAAAATGTGCATTTATATATGAAATAATCAAGAATACTGGAAAAAAACACAAGTTAAACAAATTGAACTTAAGTATAATAAAACTAGTCCGGCTAGACAAGTTGGACTAATTTTTACTTGGGTGCACTAGAGACACTTTCAACATACTCACAAATCTCAGTTTTGATAAATGATGCAAATATTTTTAGAAATGGTTTTCTTGACCTAATACCAAAACTTTCTTGCAAATGTTTTCATTAATATTCATTGAAATTCCTAAGGAGTTCAAGAAAACCCAACAGGACATTTGATTGACAGCTATATGATGCTGGTCTAAAGATTTTTCTGTCAATGGTTCTGTGCAGTTTGGATGGTTTCACAAAATATCTGTGGTTTAATTATAGAACCAGTGACTAATTTTTGGTAATGCTTGGCATTAAAAACCATGACTTTCAGTTGAAAATATTTAGTAGTAGTGGTGAACACAAGTGAAACATTTGTTTAAATAAAGATCTGTGTAAAATGCTGGTGTTTTATAAAAAGCATTTTCTACTTTCTCACCTAATAATACGATGACATGTATTATTACTTAGTCTTGATTCCTAATCATATTTTGATTAAAGCTGTTGGCTGAAGAATCATTATTAGTGAGCTTTACATTACTAAAATGAAATACCTGAGGCAGCTAACTTATAAAGAGAAAATGTTTATAATTTAGCACACAATTTGAAGATTTAAAGTCCAAGATTAGATGGGGTGAGGGTGGGATGAAGGTGTAGGGAGTTAAGGATTGGTTTGACATTTGGTGAGGGTGGTAGATAGTAGCACATTATGGCAGGAGTGTGTGTGTGTGTGTGTGTGTGTGTGTGTGTGTGTGTGTGTGTAGCAGGGTTAGGGGGGCAAAGGGTCACATCTCAAACCAGAGCAGAGAGAGAGAGAGACTGGGAATCCGTAATCATCCTTAAAGGTCAGGTTGCTATAACAAATTGTCAAAGATTGTGTGGTTTATAAACAACAGAAAATTATTCTCATAGTTCTAGAGCTGGGAAATCTGAAATCAGAATACTGGCATGGTTGACTGGTGTTAAGAGTTTTATTCCAGGGCACAGACTGCAGGTTTCTACATCTTCAAGTGGTAGAAAGAGGGTAAGAGAGCTCTCAGGAGCCCCCTTTATAAGAGCACTAATCTAATTTCTAAGGGCTACATCCTCATGACCTACTTACCTCTCTCCCTGCCTCCTGCACAGCAAGGGATCAGTGAACTGCACAGGAGGGATGTAAACAAGCTGAGAAAAATTAATCAAAAATTGTAGAAATAAAATAAAAACTCACTTATTAATTGAAAGTGGGGGGCACAGTGGGTGATCAGCTCTGATGGAGCCTGGGTCTAACAAAGAAAAAGAGCCTACATTTTATTTTTATAGATAGGAACATCAAAGGATTTCAGTGTGGCAGGCTTCTTGAGGAAAATAGGAAAAACAAGCTGTATGAGGCTTGGCAAGTTATGCTCACCTCCTCTCTCTGGGTGACGACGTTTTGAAATCAAGGCCTCTTGAACTAGTGAGTTCCATGGCAAACACAGAATTTCACCCATCAACAGGAATCACCTTGCAAATGAGTGTTTCCAGGGCACCCTGGCACTGTGGGGTTCCCAAGAGCAGTGTTTCACTGTCCAGGGCATTACATAGTTTGAAGAAATGATTTATCAACTGCCTATGACATACCTTCAAAAGCCACCACCTATTAATAGCATAACCTTGAGGGGGGATAGGATTGCAAAATTTGAAATTTGGTTGGTGGGAAGAATAAAATGTAAAACTAGTAAGAAGATCCTTTTTATACAATATAACCAAAAATTGACTCTGAAAATGAGAGACATTTGGAGCTCAGGCATATATTGGAATATACCTTTAGAAATTTAAAAGTGTCTAACTTAACCACCACATGATAAAGCTTCTGTCTTGTCTGAAGTTAATCAAGGGCCAAGACTTTTGTGCTCTTCATTGCTTAATGCCGAGCTCCGGACATGGTACTACTGAACATTTATAGAAAGAATGAAGGAAGGAAAGAGTGTCACCCTGTGACTAGAGCCTTTCATACCTTGGCTCATTAAAAACTTACAATAGCCCAATGAAATGTATATTCTTTTTCCCATTTTACAGAAGCCCACTCTAAGAGAGAGATAGAAGCAAATAATTGTCACACTGGGTCCTTAACAATGGCCTTTGACCTCTATATGACAATAGTTTCCTGTCAGTCTTTATAACAACAACAACAAAAATCCCTCTACATTTTAATTTGCCTCTGAGTAGAATGGCACTAGATATTGGCCAATATGATCAAATTGAGAATGTTTAACGGCATAAATTTATCCTTGGGATCAGAATATTCTCAAATAAAAAAATCAATTTGTTTTTTCTTGAAGGAAAAAAGAATAATCTAGTATGAAAACAATTCGATTTGAAAAGATGAATTTTTTATTTATAAAGTATAATAAACATTAGCATTTAATAATCCTAGATCTCCTGGCTTCCAGATCTTCATTTGCTTTGAATTATCAGCAGCTTTTGGCAAAGTTGGAACTTGCTGCTTCTTGAATTCCTCGTTTGGCTTCTGTATGCTTCTGGTCCTCTCTGGCTGTTCTCATTTCACTGGAGTATCTGTTTCTAAATTTCTGTTTTTGGTTTTTCTTCTGTCTTTTTTCTGTTGATTGTGAAATTCCTCAATGCTTGACCTTCATTTTCTTCTGGTAGGAATAACTCCCAAGTCAGGGTCTTCAGCTCTGACCTTCCCTAAGCTCTAGGCCTCTCTAGACATTTCCAGTTGTCTGCTAGACAGCTCCCTTTATTTTGCTGCAGACATCTCTGACACCCTGTGGTCTCACCTGAACCTTCTAAGTCTTCTTCCTTCTTTTTTTAACCTGCACTTATTTTGTTGGTATCAGCATTATTCCAGACTAGAAGTTTTGGAGAACTCCCTCCCTCTAGCCTTCTATCTCACAATTATATTCCCACGATATACCTGTCTTCAGAAACTCCCATGGCGGCATATCTCCCCTACTATGTTAGTAACACTTTGATGACCACCATGATCTAGCACCAAAGGACCAACATTTCAGTGCTTGCGTGATGTAACTACAGACAGCTTTTCCAGGCCCATCTCCAACAGCCATCCTACGCAAATCAATTTGAACTGTCCTCTGTTCCTCATTCATTCTCATTTTATTTCCTGCACTGCATCTGTGGTCATACTCTTTCATATTGACATGCTCTAACTTCCTACTATTTCCATTTCTAACTTTAACTTTACTTTCAGAGCTGCTTATATTAAAAATTCCTCTGAAGCCTCTGGATTAGGTAAAAGAAAAGTTTTCTAAAATTTCAGTACATTGCATTTGTAATACCTTAGTTGTTCCAAACATGGTATTAGAATTGCCCTTGTATAAGTCTTCAGTTTCTCACTATACTTTAGACTTCTGATGTCATGGATAATAAATGTTAATATTCATGCCTCCTTTAGCAGTTGGGTGGATTTTGGAATTGCAAGGAATTTAGTGTACATCTGAGTGTTCTGACTTTTGTGTATTGTTTCTATTTTATCTTTGGCATCTTTGATAACTATCATTTGGGGTTTATTTTAAGGATACACATAGTATACACATGGAAGCAGCCTATTTTTTTAAAAGGTAGTTCTAATTTGGGATACATTTTTTTGTTGTTGTTCTAAGGTGTTTATTCAGCTCTCTGTGGCTGAAGTAGATTACTTTTCCAGTTGAGTGGCAGCCTGTACATACATGGTGACAGTTCACATGTCTTATGTTTTCTTTATCAATTTAACATATTTAGTTTTTCTACCTGTCCTTTATTTGACCTGATTCTTTTTCAGGGCTGTTGCATTTTTGGAGGAGACTTTAGGAAAGTCCAAAAGTGTGCAGAATACTTACTGGAGTACAGTGGTTGTTTGTGACTATAAATATTTGAACTGTTGTTCATGACACAACTGATCAGCAATACACTCTTTTCAGGTGAAGTCAAAAGGTGACAAATCAAGGTGTGTATATAGATTCACCTCTGCCAACTTGGGGATGAACATTTTTTCTCTGTGTAATGAATTAACAAATGAAGAAACCATTAAAAGATAGAGGGAATTTAATTTTAAATTTTGATTACAATTGGAGATTAGCCATTCAATAAAATGATCCTCCTCCTTTGTAGATTAATAGAATCAGAGGTAAAAACAACAAATATACCATGTATGTATAAGATAAATGAGTTTAAAGATAGTAGACCAAACGAGTTAGCTATTAGGTAAAGTTACAGAGTTAACCTTTGTGTAAAAATTAAGTTGCCTTTATTGAACACTTCTGTATGTAAGGCATC